TATAAAATAGTTAAAATATTTATAAAGTATTTCATAAAATAGCTACAAAATATCATAAAATATTTTCAAATGCATAGATGAGATTTTAAGAAGTAGGGGACAGCATAAATGAAACTGGAGCACATTATGATAAGTGAAATAAGCCACACATGGAAGAACAAATATTATACAATGCCACTTGTATGAGGAATCTAAAATAGTCAAACTCATAGAAGCAGAGAGTGGTACGGTGACTACCAGGGGCTGAAGAGAGAGAGAAAAAGGGGGAGGTGCTGGTCAAAGGGTATAATGTTTCAGTTATGCAAGATGACTAAGTCCCGGAGATCTGCTGTAGAATGCAGTGCCTGTAGTTCACAATACAGGTTGTCCCAAAAGTCTCCATACAAAGGAAAAATTTTGTAAAATTTTGTAATTAATATTTTGTAAATAAAGGTACATCTAGCTACAATTTCCCATTTTCCCTATGTATGGCGACTTTCGGGACACACTGTATTGTACTGTATACTTAAAAATTTGCTAAGAGGGTAGATCTTTTTTTCCCATTATGCTCTCCTAAGACACTAATAAACCAAAAGAGGGTAGTTCTTATATTAAGTGTTCTTATAACTAAATACATAAATAAGTAAATAAATCAGGCAGGAGGAAACTTTTGGAGGTGACGGCTATATCTATGGCACTGATTGTAGTGATGGTTTCATGGGTGTATACGTACCTCCAAATTCATCAAATTGTATACACTAAATATGTACTGTAAGTCCCCAGTTAACATCATCAACAAGTTCTTGGAAACTGCAACTTTAAGCGAAACAATATATTACGAGTCCATTTTACCATACATGGGGAGAACGCGTAAACTCCACATAGACAGTAGCCCTGGCCAGATTTGATTTTTTTTTTCTCATCAGTTTTATAACGAAACAATGTTGAATGAAACAATGTCATTCAAGGACCTGCTATATGGCTTTTTGTATGTCAACTATACCTCAATAAAGTGGTTTAAAAAAAAAAAAAAAGAAAATCATTAGAGGTCAAAACTAGGCAAAGAGTATAAGCCAGTTTTGCCTTAATGGTGTTTGCCAAGACACATGAACTTGAGGTTCATTTTCACAGGCTCATGAAATACAGAGAAAAGGCAACAAAACTCAGTGACCACCCAAGGTGGAGCATCTAGTAGAAAACTTTTCCTGCACAAAATTGACATGCTTACAGATCTACCCCTTAGTCTTAAGGTGAACTAAAAATTAACCTGCCCCCCATCCCCTCCTCAGGGGACTATAGGGAAAATTGCCTATCTCAAAATGTGGTACCAAATGGAGAAGGGGGCATATCCATATCTTCCCTGAAAATTCATAATTACAAGCCGGTTCATTTATGATTTTGCATATAGAATCCACTCTACCTGAATAGTCTGAAATACTATCAAGATAAGATTTCAGTTTAAAGTAATCCTAAACTTCATGTACTCAGGGACATGGTAGTAGAGTTTCATAGAAAATGACCTTGAAAGATAATGCTAACAATTTTGGAATCAAGTGTCATGATGCCAGCAACTTATTTTCAGATGGTATGATAAGATTATATTGTATTATATTATATATCTATCATATGATATTAGAGAGACAGAACTAATATGACAAAATGTTAATAAATGTTGGATCTAGATGAAGGATATACAGGTGTTCATTGTGCCTTCCTTCAACTTTTCTGCACGTTTGAATTTTTTCATAACAAAGAGATTGGAAAGACTGTTTTGAGAAGAATGAGTAATCAACCCCATTCATTTAACTGCTCTTCCTAAGGTCAAATAATCTTATATCCATAGTACCCATACTGTGGTATCTAAATACCATTTCCCACTAAAAGGGACCATTTCCAATGAATCACTGGAAAAAACAGCTGATACCAGCTCTGGTCTAGATATGAACAAAATGAGACTGGAACATTTTATTATATTAGCTAGCAAGAAAGCTGAGGGGTTGTGTCAAAAGGACTCAGGAGCCAACTTAGGACAAAATAGGACATTTAAGCATCAAATATGATAACAACTTGCAATGATTGAGCACACATATGTGTTATATGAGTTCATAATGGTACTAGAAGAAAAGCTAGGGAAAAACTCCTTACTTTGAAAGCTAGTAAAATAAAAGGGAAATGATCAAACATTTATCCTGCCTTTCCTATGAAATATATCTCTGGGTAACAAAGAGTTAATGTGGAAAAGTTCCTTTTATTTATAAAAGAATACTTCTTTTATAGAAGTAATCTACCTAATAAACAAAAAAGGAATGATAGAATGAAAATATTATTGTCTAACTCCTATATTTTATTTAGTTTAAAAAAATTTTTTTCCATGGGGTCCTACTATGTTGCCCAGGCTGAACTCGAACTCTTGGCCTCAAGTGATTCTCCCCCCTCAGCCTCCCAAGTAGCTGGGACTACAGGTCCAGCTTTAACTCCTATGTTAATGAACCTAGACCGGGGGTTCTAAATCAGGGACAATTTTGTGCCCCAGGGGACAACAGGCAAGGTCTAGAGACATTTTTGGTTGTCATAATGGGGGAGAAGTGCTGTTGTCATCCACTGGGCAGAGGCCTGGGATGCTCCTAAACATCCTACAATGCACAGGACAGCCCCCTACAATAAAGAATTATCCAGCCCAAAATGTCAATAGTGTCAGAGTTGAGAAACCGTCACAAAAAAGACCACCATTGCGTACCTCCTGATAGAAGTACTAAATCATTATTGTAAACCTCCTGATATTAATAGAAGTACTAAACCACCTATAAAGTAATTTTTCCAAGATATTCAAACTACATCAAACTAAATTGGTCTCTTACCACCAATTTACATGAAATACAGGGGACTGAGGAACATGCTAAGTTACACCAGAAGAACCTCCAAAAAATCCAGACTTTGAGGAACTCTACAGGAAAAGTGACCTGGTTTAAAAAAAATAGCAAGAATAAAAGACAAAGGATACAATTAAGAGGTTTCAAAAGATTTCAGACACATGAACTGCAAATGGACTTATTTAGATTTTGATTCAAATAAACAATTTTTAAAAATCAAACATAATGGAGGAAATGTGAACAACTGCATACTTAATAATATTAAGGAACTATTGTTATTTTTTTTAGGTGTGACTATAATACTGCAATTTGGCTTTAACGAAGAATCCTTATCATTTAGAGATAACATACCAAAATCTTTACTGATGAAATGATACAATGTCAGAAATATACACCAAATAACTGGACTGGAGGAAGAGGGCAGGGGTATAGATGAAACAAGACTGGCCATGAACTGCTCATTGGAGAATCACTTGCATAGAAGTGATTCTATGAAAGTAAAAGCAGGTACTTTCACCTGGCCCGGGTCACATGTGGCAACAGTAAAATGAGGCAAGGGTAAGCAGTTGTGCACTGCGGGCATTCAACGAAATGGTCTTACTAACCCAAGGTAAATAAGGATTCATTGTTCTATTCTCTCTGTATGTGTGAGACATTTCCCATCATAAAAAGTTTGAAAAACAACAACAAAAGGATCTTCTAACAGCCTAACTCAAGGGACATTTTAAACTTATCTTAGCTGACCCCTCTACACGGTTTGATGCAGTTCATTATTTCACTCTTCCTAAACCCACCATTCCTTGGATTCCATGGCACTGGCCTTCTAGATTCTCTTCCCACCTTTCAGCTCATTTATTCTGTCTCTTTCATGACTCTCTTCTTTAATGTTGGAGTTCCTCAGGACTCCACTGTGGGCCTATTTCTCCCACGCACACACCCACTCTGAATGATGGCACCTCCCTTCATGGTTTCCTTTACCATCACCCCTTTGCTTATCACAATCATCTACCTTCCACCCACCCCAACCTTTCCTCTTCATGGATGTTTTTAAATCTGGGTTGACATCACCCAGTCATCTAAGCTAGAAACTTATTGTGCTGGCTGACATGCTTTCTCTCCACAGGGCTGACTGACTTTGGATACCACAATCAGCAAGATTTCCCATGTTACCCCCCCCCCCATACTAATTGAACATTTCCTCCTCTCCCTCTTTTATTCCCATCCTAGTGCAGTCCCTCATCCTCTCCTGATTGAACCTGTCACAGACTCCTTTCTAATCAGCCTTCTTGCCTCCACACACCACCACAATGATCTTTCTAAAACAGGCTCCCCGCTCTTCAGCTTGGAATTACTATCGCCAACTACCATGGTAATTCTCAAACTTGGGTAAAGGGTCAGAACCCAGTGTCGATTAAATTATCTGATATTATTAATACTTAAATAAAACAAGGCATAAATCCCCAGTGTTTACAGATCTTATACAACTATAGAAAGCAGATTCACAAATCGTTGTGATGTTAACATTAATTTAATGCGATGAATGAGGGTGTTTTGCTGAGACCAAATGCTTCCAGAAAAATGAACATGCCCCAGGGGGCTGTTCTGAAATTCATTCTGGAAGGATTAAGAACGTCTCCCGTTCTTCTCTGTCCAAACTTGTGAGGTGCATGCACCACGACACCATCTGCCCTTCTCCTGACCCTAACGCATCATGTATCATTTAAGACCGTCTTTCTTCTATTAGCCCCTTACATGTTAAATAGTACTTCTTGGCTACAACTCTCAAAAACCTGTGACAAGACTCCGTTTGAAGGCGGTCAGCCACGCGATGCGGACTCTGCTTATATTAATTTTTTTCTTCGCTTACCACAGAGATAGAAATGCAGAACTTTAAAAATCTTAAAGTGAACTTACCCTTGCTCCCTCCAGCTCTCTCAGCCTGTCTCTGCATCAGAAGCCCACAGCTTTCACTCCTTCCGCCCTCCATGCCGCCGCTAGGTGGCAGGCGGCTCATGGACGCCTGAAACCGCTCGCTCGGGAGCCGACAGCTGGGATCCAGTGACGTCACCCAACACGGGCGATGATTGGCTATTTCTCCGATGACCCAGGGGGAGGAGCCAGCGGCAGAATCGGAAGCGTCGGGTACGGCAAGCGCACAGTGTCCTCAAGATTGTGCGTACGCACCCAGGACCCCGGCGCCGACCAGCTGCAGCCCCTCCTCCGGCCTGAGGGGGCAGAACGGGTTCCTACGTGACGGAGGGAGGAACCTGCTGAGAAGGTTCACACTGATAAAGGCTGGGCTGCCCTGAGGGAGGAGTCACCTTGAGAGATGGGGTCACAATGACTGGTGGAGTCACTCTGAGAGGTGGGGTCTCACTGCGTGGGAGGAACACACAGAGGAGGGGGTGCAGCACTGAGGGGTTCTGTACACACTGATGGTGGCAATATCATACTGAGGAAAGGTCCCCGGGAAGGGCAGGAGTCTCACTGACCAAGAGCAAGAGTGGGGACTCGGAGGCAGGGGCGGGAAAGCGTTCTTTGAGGGGGCCGGATCTTGCTGAGCAGTGGGGTCTTGCGGAAGGAGGGGCTTCCGTGCAGGTGGAGGCTTCTCTTGAGACGGTCGTTTGCACAAAGTAGTCAGAGGGAAGTCCAGGCTGGGTGGTCACTGGGCGGCGGCACTGGAATCTGAACTTCACTCGGCGGAGGCGGGATGGAGTGAGGAGGAGTCGGGGCCAAGCCAGGGATGGGCCGGCCAAAGGCTCGCTACAGCCCCGGGGTTTCGTAACCAGCCGAGAAAGTAGAAGGAGTTAGAGAGTCCAGAGGTTTAAGGTGTAGGGGTCGAAGAGACCTGGGAAATGGGCAGGCTGGGCCGGGGCGCAGGCCGGGACGGTGGACAGGTTGCTGGGCTGCCTCTGGTTGTGCCTGGGCCTGAGGGGTCTACTTTTCTGCCCTGCTGTTTCATGGAGCCCAAGCATTGGGCGGGTTCCTGAGCCCTGCCCTCTACGGACAGTGACCCGAGGGAGAGGAGAAAGGACTCTCAGGGCAGCTAAAAGACGTTTGAGCTTCGCTTACGCACAATCAACCCTTAATTCCCTTCCGTTATTCAAGCTCAGCCCCGAACTTACTTGACCCCCGCGCCGCCGACCTACTCGCCTAGTCGTCGCGGCCACCGAGTGGGGGTGGGGCGCGTACCTGAGGGGGCGTGGCCGCTGCCCCGAGGCCGGGCTAGAAGGAGTTAAGCCGAGGCCCGGCCCAGCCCCGCCCCCGGCAGGCCGCGGAGCCTGAGCCCCAGCGGCTAAGCTGAGCAGCCGCCGCCCGCCCGCCCGCCTCCGCCTGCGGGGAGCCAGCCCGCCCGCTCCCGGGTGAGCCGCCGCCACCGTCGCCGCTGCCACCACCGCCGCCGTCCGACCCAGGCCCTGCGCGGAGCGGAGCAGCGTCCACCCCGGCCCAGCTAGCCGGCGCGGCGGGGGCGGGCCCGGGATCTTCGGGAGATCTTCCATTCTCGGGGCGGGAGAGGGAGTCCCGGCGCCCGGGATCGGGCTGGGCCAGCGCCGATGGCGAGCGCGGCCTGCCCGGGCCCCGGGGACCCTGCCATGTGAGGCAGGCCCGGGCTGGGGGCCCGGCCATGGCCGGGGAACGGCCCCCACTGCGGGGCCCTGGACCCGGGCCTGGAGAGGCGCCGGGGGAGGGGCCCCCGGGGCCGGGGGGCGCTGGCGGAGGCCCGGGTCGGGGCCGCCCCTCCTCCTACCGGGCTCTCCGCAGCGCGGTGTCCAGCCTGGCGCGTGTGGACGATTTCCACTGCGCGGAGAAGATCGGGGCCGGCTTCTTCTCTGAGGTCTACAAGGTAGGACCGGCCGAGAGGGCAGAGGGGCGGGACCGAGCCTTCAACGGCAGGCTGTAACTAGGGGGCCAGGAGTGAGGAGAAGAGGGCCCGGGCTCAGGCGACCTGCCCAGCGCTTGCCGGCCCTGTCGCCTCCAGGTTCGGCACCGACAGTCAGGGCAAGTCATGGTGCTGAAGATGAACAAGCTCCCCAGTAACCGGGGCAACACGCTACGGGAGGTGCAGCTGATGAACCGGCTCCGGCACCCTAACATCCTAAGGTGAGCGGCCCGGCCCCTTGCTGGGCAGCTTGCTGGCCAGAATGGAAACGCGAAAATCCCGCGGGAAAAGTGGGAACTGAGGAGGAGCCAGGGCTTGTACAGGGCTCTACCCTCCTGTCTTCTCCATCCTCTTCCAGGTTCATGGGGGTCTGTGTGCACCAGGGACAGCTGCACGCTCTTACAGAGGTGAGGATAGGCCAGGAAGAGGGGAACCCTCCACACCACCAAGGAGAAAGGGAGTCAGCGGGCCTGATGGGTCGACAGAAGAATAATGAGAGGCAGCAGGACCGCTTCCTGGGGAGGTGTCCCTGAACTTCCCTTTGGGCAAACCACATATAAAAGGCCTCAGCTCGTCTCCTTCCCTGCATCCCTAGAACAGTGTTGTCCAATAGAACTTTCTGCAGGGATGGAAATGTTCTCTACCTGTGCTGTACAGTACTGTAGCCCCTAGCCAGTAGGCTAGAGCACTGGAAATGTGGCTGGTGTGACCAAGGAAGTAAATGTTTAGTTATATTTAAATTTCAATAATTTTAACTTAGCTTAAAAGACTTATCCTTCTTTGTGATCCCTCCTGAGTGTTCCCTGGCTTATAAGTGGGAGACCTAGAATACAGACTGAAGCCTGACATTGTCTTCTCCTTCACTCCAGTATATGAATGGGGGGACCCTGGAACAGCTGCTCAGCTCTCCTGAACCCCTATCTTGGCCAGTCAGGCTCCGCCTGGCTCTGGACATTGCCAGAGGCCTGCGGTACCTGCATGCCAAAGGTGTTTTCCACCGAGACCTCACATCCAAGGTAGGCTAGCCAGGTGGGTGGAGGTGTAAAAGGGGGGTTGAGACTATTAGGTTGTAACATGGATGTTGGAATGTAGATACGGGATGTATTAGGGGAGGGCACTGGGGAATGTTGGGGGCCTGAGTATTGCCCTGTGTTTGGAGTGTTGGATGATGTTGCAATATTGGGGTACATTGGAGAACTGGGAGATTAGAGAGGATTGGGGGTACGCTGGAGTGGCAGGACTTTGGGTTATATATTAGACCAGAGAGCAGAAGGTGACGAGTGCGTGGGGATGCTTTATGTGTATGTCAGAACTGTCTGGTCCGGCGGGAAGACCAAGGCTTCACAGCTGTCGTGGGTGACTTCGGGCTGGCTGAAAAGATTCCTGTGTATAGGTGAGGTGAATGCTCCTGTTGCCGTCAAACCTCCCAGAGGGCCCCTATCTGAGTGAAGCCCCTAGGGGCATTTCCCTTGGGGTGGAGAGGGGGCTCACTTCATCCCCTTTTGCTGGGGGGGGGATGCTCGAGTGGGATGTTTCTGACCACCTGCCCCTGCAGGGAAGGGGCAAGGAAGGAGCCATTGGCTGTGGTGGGTTCCCCATACTGGATGGCTCCAGAGGTGTTGCGGGGTGAGCTGTATGATGAGAAGGTAAGACATCAACCCTTCAGATCCCCATAAGGCCCCATCCATTCCAACAAGAACCCAACTAGACATTCAGGAGCCCTCACGATTCCCCATGCCCCTCACAGGCACCTTCCAACACATGAAAACTGTCAAGATCCCTGCCTCTCAAATTCTGCTATATTCTGACAAAATTCTGGAATGAAAACTGTCAACTCCTCCCCCTGACATTATTATCTCCTCCCCCCAGGCTGATGTCTTTGCCTTTGGGATTGTCCTCTGTGAGCTCATTGCCCGAGTGCCTGCGGACCCTGACTACCTACCCCGTACCGAGGTGAATGTCTCTAGGTTTGAAAACGAAGGAGAACTCCTGACTTGGCAGCTCACAACCAAGGAGGGCTCCCTGGAGGTTGAGGTCCTGACTGGGGGGCAGAAGGAGAACCCAGGGAGGCTGACTGGAGGCCCCTCCTCTCTGTCCCCATAGGACTTCGGCCTGGATGTGCCTGCTTTCCGAACTCTGGTGGGGGATGACTGCCCACTGCCTTTCCTGCTCCTGGCCATCCACTGCTGCAGCGTAAGTGCCTCACTCTCCCTCCTGCTTCCTCTTCCGCCCCCATCATGAGCTGACTTGGCTGCCCTGTGGTTCCTAGCTGATGGGAGGAAAACTCAGGAATCCTCTTCTGAAACACTGAGTGAAGCTGCCCCTGTCTCTCCCCATCAGATGGAACCCAGCACCCGTGCCCCCTTCACTGAAATCACCCAGCACCTGGAATGGATCCTGGAGCAGCTGCCTGAGCCAGCCCCCCTCACCAGGACTCCCCTGACACACAATCAGGGTAAGTGAGCATAACCTTGACCTAGCTAAGTCCCTTTGTGTCCTCTCTCCTTCTTAGAACTCAGAGAATTATCTGGGGGAGGCTAAGTGTGTTTATCAGTTGAGAAGCCTGGGAGTCGGGGTGGGATGGGGTGGGAGGACATCTCAAGGAAGACAGTTTTCTAATGCTAGAGGCTGAGGGAGAGGAGGAAGGAAAGAAGAGGTAAAAGGGAGCTAGAGGTGACGTCCCCCCTTTCCAAAGCATGCTGTGGGGCTCCGTTTTCTAAGCTCTAGTCCTACCAGCCTCCTGGAGAATAAGGAAGCCCCCAGGGAGCTATGACTACATGCAGAGAACAATGACCCCAGATTCTCTGTCTACAGGGTCTGTTCCAAAAGGGGGTCCTTCTGCTACACTTCCCAGGCCAGACCCCCGGCTCTCCCGAAGCCGGTCAGACCTCTTCCTGCCCCCATCACCAGAATCACCCCCCACCTGGGGGGACAATCTGACTCGAGTCAACCCCTTCTCACTACGGGAAGACCTCAGGGGTGGCAAGATCAAGCTCTTGGACACACCCAGCAAGCCCGTCGCCCCCCTGTCCCTTGTACCACCATCACCACTGCCCTCCACCCAGCTGCCCTTGGTGACCACTCCAGAGACCCTGGTCCAGCCCGGGACACCTGCCCGCCGCTGCCATTCACTACCCTCATCCCCTGAGCTCCCAAGACGTATGGAGACAGCACTGCCAGGTCCTGGCCCTCCCCCCGTGGGCCCCTCGGCTGAAGAGAAGATGGAGTGCGAGGGCAGCAGCCCTGAGCCAGAACCCCCGGGACCACCTCCCCAGCAGCCCCTGTCCGTGGCCACAGACAACTTTATCAGCACTTGTTCCTCGGCATCCCAACCCTGGTCCCCTAGATCAGGACCTCCTCTCAACAACAACCCCCCAGCTGTGGTGGTAAACTCCCCACAAAGCTGGGCTGGGGAGCCCTGGAACCGGGCCCAGCACAGCCTGCCCCGAGCTGCAGCCCTGGAGAGGACAGAACCCTCGCCGCCCCCTTCAGCTCCCCGGGAGCCGGATGAGGGGCTGCCCTGTCCCGGCTGCTGTCTTGGCCCCTTCAGCTTTGGCTTCCTGTCCATGTGCCCCCGCCCCACACCAGCTGTTGCCCGCTACCGCAACCTGAACTGTGAGGCGGGCAGTCTCCTCTGCCACCGAGGGCACCACGCCAAGCCACCCACGCCCAGCCTGCAGCTGCCTGGGGCACGCTCTTAGCAGTGGGGCCTGCGGTCTCAGGCCTCCACCTTCGGCCTTCAGGACACCCCAAGGACAGAGCTCACTTGCTGGACAGTGCCAGCCCCAGATGGGCTGACTGGCTCTTCTCCCCATGTAGGGGAGCCTCAGCATGGACTGGAAGGACAGAGCACTTCTAGTCCAACCCCTGGATGGGCTCGCCATCCCTTGGGGATCACTGAACCAGACACAGCATTGCTGACACTTGAGACTAACACGTGCAATTATTTAAAAATATTTCAATAAAACTGCCTGGCTGGCTCCGGGCCGCCCCTATCCACTCAGCCCGTGCGCCCTCCTCCCACCCCCCCATTCCACTATGGGTGGGTCTTGGGGAGGCCAAAGTTCCTTCTAGAGGCTTCTTCAACCTTTTCCCAGGAGTGGTCCAGTTTCTGGAGCAGGGTTTCAAGCAGGCAGCAGGCTGGCTAGACGTGTCAGGTGTGGATCAGCCCTTGGCTGGGGCCTGCCCGCAGTGAGGGAGTGCCGGGGAGTGAGAGAATGATCTTAGGACTGCAGGCCACAGGTAGGGATGAGGGCCACAGGCTGTTGTTGGCATGAGTGTCTGGAAGAGTAAAGCATCAGTGACCTCTGCAGTTGACTGTGCCTAAACCCTCACCCAGCTCGTCCGTCTCCTCCCCAGCTCCCTGGACAGCCACGGCAGCAGCCTCCCTTCAGTTCTAGGCCTTACCTGCCCCTCTCCCTGCCCAGCCTACCCTTACATAAGCACACCAAGCCACTGGAGGCTGTGGATGTGACTGTCATCGCCAGATACAAGTTCCCTCGGACCTCTGGGCCCCTGCGCTGAGTCCCTCTGCCCTGGCACTCCCCATGCCTCAGCCCCACCCCTCACACTTACCTAGCTCAGTGGTGCTCATCTGGAAACCTGAAGGCTGCCATCTCACAGATGCAGGGAAGAAAAGCTGAACATACGTCTGAAATGCTATACCATGACCAATATGTTTGTACCTTGACACATCTTGAGATTTGACCAGAGGACCTAAAGAGTAGTGAAGTGGAAATGGGATGTGCTGGAGACCCATCCTAGCCCATCCTCCCTTCTCTCTCCTTGCCCTGCATAAAACCTGGCCCAGGTGCTAAGTCCCCCTGCCTGCTTAAGGCCACATCTGGGCATGGTTCAGGGACAGATGTCTGGACTGCAATTAGAACAGGCTTTAGGACCAGGGGAGAGAAAGATCACCCATGGTCTTAAAGATGAAAACTCCAGTTAGGGAACATAAGGAGGTGGCCACCCTGTTTCAGGGTCCCTGGGGTTGATTCTCAAAGTTACCCCACTGCTCCCTTGCTCACTTTTCCTGGGGCAGCCCTAGTGACCCAAGTGGTCCCTACTGAGAAAGTACAACCTCAGTTTGGGTAGCCTTGTCAAGGGGTGGGAAGTTGGAATGCTGGTGTTCATCAGCTGGGAAGCCCTGGCTAAACCCTCAGCTTCTCCCTCTGCTAGATGGCATAGGTCCCAACCTAGTAATTATTTAAAAAACAAAAAGAAGTACGTGTCAGGGATTTCTAGGTACTGAGGATAGAATAGAAAATAAGATTGTCCTAAGGAGTTAGGAATCAAATAGAGGAAAGAGACAAATACGCAATTACAATATTGATTTGTGGAAGAGTTTTGACAGCAGCACCTGGGGAGGAAATTACTGCTGTGTGTTTATGACGGGATCATGGAGTTGAAAATACCCAAAAGTCCTAACGAACTTACCCAGAGTAGTATGCCTTCTGCCCACTGGAGTCAATCCAATATGAATCTTCTGAACCAACAAGTGATGAAAACGAACTTGAGCTGATGTGTCGAAAAAGCTGGGGAGATTCAGAAAGACCAGAGTTGGGTGGAGAGTGATGAGAAATATGGAAGAAAGCGAACACCCTAGGGAGGCCTCTGAGCTTTGGCAAGAAGGCTGTGCCCTTCTTTGGTACATGACAGCTCGTCAGTGACTTATCCCAGCATCCTTCAAGTGCCACCCTGCAGCTGCAGGCTCACGGTTCAGCTTGCCTCCCAGCTGGGTAAGAATTTCTGCCAGCCTTTGGAGGGGAGTCATTCTGTGGTCTGTTCTGGTCCCAAGGAACCATTGCCTACAATGCAGCCCACCAGGTATGGGACCTCTCTGCCTGAGTGGCCACAGGCCACCAAGTCAAAGAACCCGTTAAGCAGCTCAGGGAGCTGATGAGCAAACTGAGATACAGATTAAAGCAGAGATGGTTCATAAGTCTCAGCTCTCATGCCAGCTCTGGTCAGTGAGTAGGGGCTGCTCGGAGCACTGTGCTGAGAAGATGCAAGGCTGTTTCCAAGCTCAGTGGGAAAGAGTATTGTGACTGATTGTCAGTGTCTGCCATGGAAAAGGAAGGCATGCCCCGGCCACGTGTGCACTGCCATTCCTGACTCGATGACATGTATCCCCTTACCTAACAGTACCCACTACAGTCTGTGGATAAGGCTATGCTTACTGAATAATAATGAGTTTCAGTGCCGGTGGCCAGCTTGGAGGACAGAGATTCACAAAGATCTTTGCTCTTCTGCCAACTTTTCCGAGTAAGTGAGAAGTAAAAGCAGCTTTTCAAGTACTGTATCCATCCCACCGGACAGCAGGTGTCTAAAAAGCAGAAAGAGTGTGACAGCAGCAATGCTTGGCATGAAAGTGACTACTCAGCAATCTGGTTTCTGACAATATTCCCCTAGGGTCTAATCTCGCCTTCACGGACTCCTAGTCCTTGATCTTTGCAATCTTTCTTTCTGTCGCCTCCCCTGGAAATACCATACCTGTGTATACTTAGTAAATGCTTTAACATTCAACAACATCACTTCTTAACAATCTGGGAAGTTTCTTTCAATAGAACCAGTGTTACTACCCCCGATTTCTGAACAATTGCGGTCCACCCCGACATTTTGGCTAACATCACCTGGGCCCCCATACCTGTTCATGGGGCCTCTCATCTCCTCCGCCCCCTGAAGCATCCCCACTGCACATCCAAGAGCCTCCCTCGGCACTGGCCACCTCCTTCCCTCACCACTCTTCCGCAAACAGACAACCTTGGGTCCTGTTTTGCAGAAACTGTGAAGTCTCCATTTCCCTCTCCACCTCAAAATTTCTCTCTTCTCTGTTTTTCTTTTCCTGACTATCTATATGAAATCAACATCCCTCTTTCTTTAACATCCACACCCCAATCTGTGCTCCTGATCCCAGCCCACCCCTCTCCATTGCTTTGTTCCATCAGTCCTACCTCCATCACTCAAACTCATTCCCTCTCCACCGGCTCCCTCTCTTCTCTCCAGATTTTCATATGTCCCCACCCAACTACCCCCTTGAGCTACTGTCCTGTAGCAATTTAGAGGAATAAAAAGAAGGCACTGTGGCCAAACTGAAGGTGAAGGGATAAGTGGCATGCTGAAAGGTAGGCAGGGGCCTTGGAAGTCATATTAAGGATTTTTTACTTTTATATTATGAGGAAGAGAAAATCAATGTAAGGTTTTACATAGGGGAATTTTGTTCACTAGCTTTACTTTATCTCAAGTGCCTGGACACAGTGCTAGGGCATATAATATATATTCCATAATCGTTCATGTAATTAATTAATTAGAATGATCTAGACTGGGATGACATGATCAGATTTTTGTTTTTAAAGGATTACCCTGGCTCCAGTATGAAGTATGGACTCGGGTGGGGGTTGGAGGTAGGAAAAACATTCAGAAAGCTGTTGCAATTACCCTTACAAAAGATGGGGATGGGCAAAAATGCAAATGGATATATAGATTTGGTGATGGGAAGTCCACCGAGTGGGAGATGAGGCATCTGTCAAAAGTGATGGGGAAGGGAGTGGGGGAAGGAGTTACAAAGAGTGAGCCGACCACTGCAGAGGTTGCCAGGCAGTGCTGAGAGACTAGAGCTTTTGGTGGCACTGAGCAGAATGATTGTACCATTTGTCACATCTTGGAGCAGGCCTGGGCAAAGTGAGTAGTTGGGTTCATCCAGAGTTGAGATTTGGCCCATCAGGTGCACCAGAAAGACAATGGAACAAAGAAGCAAGGGGTTGAAATGATGGCTCCCCAAACCCAAGATGGGTAGGGAGAGAAGCTAGGACAGGAGACAGCTTATGGGCAGGGAAGAAACAGGGGAGTCAGCATGCTGGAGGCCTCAGTGAGGTCAGAGAAGTGTGGGGAAGCGTGGAGGCAAGGTGGGCAGCTGTGATCAGAGTGGAAGTCAGAAACCGTCCTTTCAGTAGAGGAGCAGTTTGGGATGCCAAGGTCAAGGGTGCAGGTATGGGAATGGGTGGCAGCCCTGGCATGGAACTGAGAGTCACAGAGGGTAAAAAGGTAAGAAGGGCAAGTTGGGGGGTGTCTGCATATAATCTTGCTGTCTTAAGGCTGGGGGAGCATCCCAAATGCCCCTGGAGCTAGACAGAGCCTAACCCCAGTAGTAGTCCATAAACACTCCAGTCCCCCTGGGCCTGGTGTCCTGCCTAGACCCTCAGCTTACTTCGGCACAGCCTTTCCCCTTTTGTGTGTCCCTTCCCCCATCTCCACCTACTGTCTGGGCTCCTGCTTGCAAAATGGTTGGACACCCCATCCTAGTTCCCTAACCACACTTCATCGTGAGCGCTGAGAACTTCACCTGCCTTGCCCCACCGCCAGACTGCACCTTGTACCAGTCAGTGATTCTTAACCTTTGGGAGGATCCCAGATGTAGTGAGAATTAATTAAATTTGGGGATCCTGTCTTTAGAAAAATGAGCAAACAACCAACTTCACATCCAAATTCAAGGGGTTCCCAGATCCTTGCCACTGATGTCAGCCAGATGAAACCTGAGTTTGCCATGTGCTGCTTTGGACAGTGTGATTTTGGACAGCTGGCTGCCACCCCCTTTTCCCCCCGACAGGATCAACCTTAGAGCTGGGTGATCCCCTCAATCCAGTATGTAGCTTGGTCCTCCTCCCTGTCGCTGAGGCTGCTCAGCTCATGTCAGCCACCACTCTGGTTCACTGCCCCTTTCCTGAACAACTCACTGGGCCCTGGGAGATAGGCCCCTGCCACTAGCGTCTCCTGGCTTCAGTCCCTCCCTCACAGCTGCCCGCCCCCCTCTGTCCCTCCCCAGATACCTTGTGATTGGCACTGGAGAAGGGGCTTCATTGTGTCCCGAATGTTGCTCAGCTGCTGCTCCAAGGCGCTCCTGTGCTCCTTCTCACCTCGCAAGTTCACATTTATCTTCTCCTTGTCTGACTCACAGGCCCGCAACTGCTCTTTGGCATTCTGGTGATCCCTCTGTTCCACCTGTAGTGCTTCCTGACTCTGTGCCAGCTCTCTCCTGGACCCATGCAGGTCCTCTTCCCTCTGCCCCAGCTGAGTTATCTTTAGGCGGAGCTGCTGCCTCAGGCTGCTGTTAGTGGCTTCCAGAACCCTGTTCATCTGCTGGAGCTGCTGAGACGCCTGCAGATCTGTTTGGCCATAAAGAGAGATTTAGAGGGCATCTTCTCCAGCTGTGCCCTGTTGTCCTGAGACTGCAGCATCGGCCCTTTTCCTGCTTCTTGCAACCTTTTGCATAACAGGCCGAAATATAAGATCCGACTGTCTGAAGCTTAAGGAGGTACGGGATTAGGAAAGGACAATTTAGGAAGACAGGGCGCTCTACGACAGACCTGGCTGGAAACCAGATCAAAAACTAAGGTTGTGGTGGTAGTGACTATGGGCCTTGCTGAGGAGGGACAGCTTTGGGGAGAGTAGGGAAGAAAGTCATTTGGTGTAAGCGGGAAATGGGGACAGCCTACTCACAGCGCACTCCCAGGCAGGTGGCGGCCACTCCTAACAGCAGGCAGGTGAGGAGCAGGCAGAGCAGGAGGTAATGCCAGCAGGGTGCACGGCCTTGGGGGACAGTGGGATGGACGAAGGACCTTCAGCCCCGGGAAAGAATGTGTAGACCAGGGATGGGTGGGTGGGGGAGATTCCTGGGTAAGCATCCCTGAGAGGGTGCAGAGTTGAGGGGACAAGCACGGTGGGTGTTGTTGGGTAGTGGAGTGTTTTTTTTTTTTTTGAGACAGAGTCTCACTCTTTTGCCGGGGCTAGAGTGAGTGCCGTGGCGTCAGCCTAGCTCACAGCAACCTCAAACTCCTGGGCTCAAGCAATCGTTCTGCCTCA